TCACACACACACACACACACACACGCACACACACACACACACACACACACACACACACACACACACACACACACACACACACACACACACACACACACACGCACACACATAAACGCACTCACACATAAACGCACACACACACAAGTAACTCACTCTTTTCGACTTTTCGGAGCGAGTTTCCCATCACCTCCATCTTCTTCTCAAAGTCCTTCATACGCATCTTGGGCGAAATGGACAGAAAGCCTGTCATTCAAACGCACACGTGCACATACCATGACTTGCAGGGCTTATTCACGTCACCAACGCCATCACCACAACACACACACACACACACAACACCACTACCAACAACACCACCGCCACCACCGCCATCAGCAGCTGCTGCAGCAGCAGCATACCTTCGTAGATGTCACGCATGCGTTCGCAGATTTGAAAGGGGATGGTGTTGTCTGTGGCGTTGTTGATGCACAGCCGCATCTGAATCGAAGTGGAGGGGCGTTGGCGTGGATTCGCGCGTCAGTGGTGTACACCGCCAGTTTCACGACTGCAGCTTTCGACACGCTTTGCACACATCTAACACCTCACACACATATCACACACACGACACACACATACACACACACACACATCACAACACACCACACACATACACACAATCACACGCCACCACGGGTCGACGTACGAGTTCGCCGGTGAGATCGGCAATGCCGAGAATGTAGTCGGTAGACACGATAGCCATGCGCGGATCATCGTCGCCAGCGCCATCGAAAATGAGGGCTGCAATGTCCTCTGGTGATGGCAGCGACCCATCCTTGATGTATGCCATGAAGGTGATTGCCTCAATGTACTCCTGCATGCCTTTTTGGGGTGCGCAGGCCGTGGGAAGCGTGGATGTGATGTTGACATGAGACTGGCAGCATGGTGGCATGGAGCAGCGCAAATTCATGAACACCACTGTTGCTGCTAGCATTGGGGGAGGGAGGGTTCTTGGGTCGGTGCGAAACCTCGACATGGAAGCTTAATGTCCCCCCCCCCCACACACACACACATACACGCACACATACACACGCACACAAATACACACACAGTTACCTGGTGAGTATGCTCTGTGGTGCATGGCTGGATCTGTGCCATCCAACTCCTTGGCAATGGCTCGGATGGTTGCGTGGATGGACGCAAGCTTCTCATTGGCTTGTGCAATCAGAGTCTCCGCATTCGTCCCATTGTACCTTCAGCCAACCACGCATCGCAATTACAGCAGCGCCGGCATCAGCAGCAATATCGGCAGCGCGAGAAACAGACGGAGGTGAGCACGACTGCTCGAAAAAGCACGCAACACGCAATGCAATGTGTGGGTGGCTGCACTGATAGCTGCCACTGCGTGAGTGTGCGCGAACATGGGATCGCACCTCTGCAGGAGGAAGATGACGCGTTTGCTGGCAATGGTGACGTCGCGGCTCAGCTTCACCAGCCGCTCCCGCTGATCTTGCTGTTGTTTCAGAGTGTTGGGGCAAGATCATACAGGAAGCGTGTGTGTGTATGTGTGTGTGTGTCGTGAAAGGGAGAGAGACTGTATGTGTGTGTGTGTGACGCACGTGGTGTAGGAAGCTTGACACAAGAGCAAACACACGAACAGGCTCACGCATTTGTGGCTGAGCAACATTACCCTGTCGGTCAAGATCTTGGCATACTCCACAAAGTGTGGCAGCATCGGGTTGTTGGGATCGAGATCGGCTTTCGCCCGCTTGCCGTCTATGCACGCCAAGCATGCACACACGCACACCAGTGAGCAGTGCGTCTGTGTGTGTCTCTGTGTGTGTGTGTCTGTATGTGTGTGTGTGTGTGTCTGTGTGCGTACGCATGTAAGAAGCCAATAATCCACACTCAAACACACAGAGACACGGCGTGACGACTGACGTGCACCGTGGCGTTGTTCGTGATGGGAGTGTGGCCTCCGCTTTCCTGCTCCACCGCTGTAGCGCTTGTGCTCCTGCTTTGCCTCTGGTTTCTGCTGCTCTGTCGCCTGCGCCTCTGTCGCAGTGGCAGCAGCAGTGGAGTTACGCTGCTCCTCGTTGTCTCTGCTTGTGTCCATGGCTGTGCTGTCGTCTTGCTTGTGGTGGTTACGGAAAAATGGGTGATGAATTCTATCAATTTTCGGCACGGCGATGCGAGTGAAGAAGGTGGCAGTGGCGCTGCTGACTGCAGCTGTCCTTTCTCTTGTCACCCTTGCCGTCAGGCGCCTCTTCCACAGCCCCGACATCACACAGCCTCCCGATGAGGTTGGCATGCGTGCCATCGTTTGTGTGCGTGTGTGTGTGTGTGTGTGTGTGTGTGTGTGTGTGTGTGTGTGTGTGTGTGTGTGTGTGTGTGTGTGTGTGTGTGTGTGTGTGTGTGTGTGTGCTCGCCTGCTCGCCTGCTCGCTTGCACCCTTGCACCCTTGCTCCCTTGCTCTTCTGCTCCCTTGCTCCCTTGCACCCTTGCTCTTCTGCTCCCTTGCTCCCTTGCTCACCCATCTGCTTACTCACCTACCTGGCTGGTGTACTCGCCAGTCTCACAGCGCAACCAGCCTCTGAGTGCAGATACCAAACTCACAATTCACGGTCACTCTCCTGCCATGTCCGACACTGACACACAGGTTCAGAAGGAAGATGGTACCTCGTGTGATGCTGGGCGCTGGTCCGATTGGTCACTGTGTGACAAAAAGTGCGTGAGGCACAGGCGGCGGCTGCAGTCGCAGTATGACCAGCTGCAGCCACTTTGCGACCCCGTCGTGCAGCAACAGACCTGCCCAGCAGCATGGTGTACCCCAAGCCAACAAAGCATGCACTCAGAAGACTGTGCTACGCCCTGGAGTAACTGGTCACCGTGCTCTGCCACCTGTG